AATAGTGTTCACCTCCCCCTCCCTTAAAAGTAACCTCTGAGTCATTCCTGCCTCCTCGGTGTCCCTCCCACCCCCAACCCCTCTTCCTTGGGCATTCCCCTGCATCTCAGTCTGCCTTCAAGGGTTTGGAAACAAGTACTTAGTCTTGAGTTCTGACTTCGGGGTGGGATAGGGAGTTTATTTTTTCTGAATTGCTGACCTTCACCCCTGCCTGCATGACCTTGGGCAGTAAGCCCCATCTCTGAGCCTCAGTTTCCTCATTTGGGGCCTGTTGTCATGAACCCCCCTCCTGAGTGGTTTGGGGGCCAGTTGTGCCTGGGTCATGGGAGGGCCTCGGTCATGGCACATTTCCAGACCGGGTTAAGACTTGAGGGGTGGACGCATGCGTGGATGCTGGTGTTGGACTGTGCAGTCACGGTGAGCGACTGACGTGCTCAACAGCCCACATCTGCTCCCAGCACTGGGAAAACCTGCTTATAATGTGTCTGAAATATGCAGCCACAGTCCTACGAAGAAAATGAGAAATGAAATTTCCTGTCATAGGCAGGAAACCTTAAGAAGCAGAAGAGGTCAGAGCCGAGTGGTGCTGGTGACTTGCGATGTCAGGCGGTCACTAAGGGGGAGGTTTCCACCTCTGTATGAGACAGAGGAGAACCCCTGGGCCCTCACACTCAGGGAGGGGTCATGGTTTTGGACGGAAGTGGGGAGTTGTGGCTCCTCCTCCCCTGTGTTTGTGGATGGCTCTGGGATATCTCTGCCCATTGACTCAGGTCCATGGTCACCCCTGAGCCGCCTCCTCCATGTGTGCGAAACAGATTCACTGCAGCATTATCACACATGGGCGTCTGTCCCACATGTGAGTCTGAGGCTCACATTGGCCCCTCCCCTGCTGGTGACAGCCCTGAGCAGACTCGTGTGGCACTGGCGGGTGGCACCATCTCCCCTTTTCCAGCCTTAGCTCCCAGCACAGCCCTGGTAGAAACCCTCTCTGGAAGATGAGGCATGTGGGAAGCATGTGTCCAAGAATGACAAGAAGGAGGAATTATCCTCATGATCAAAAGTGCTATGATGGGCCGGGCACCGTGGCTCATGCCTGCAGTCCCAGCACTTTGGGAGGTCAAGGCGGGCCGGTCACTTGGGCCCAGGAGTTCAAGACCAGCCTGGGCCACACAGCAAAACCTCTTCTCTACAAAAAATACAAAAATTAGCTGGATGTGGTGTCATGAATAATGGCCTCCAGCTCATCCAAGTTGCTGCAAAACTCAATCCTTTGTATATCAGTTGCAAAAAATTAAAAATACCTAAGCAGATACCTAACCAAGGAGGTGAAAGATCTCTACAAGAAGAACAATAAAACGCTGCTGAAAGAAATCGTAGATGGCACAGCAAAACAGAAATATATCCCATGCTCATGGATTGGAAGAATCAGTATTGTGAAAATGATCATACTGCCCAAAGCAATCTTCAGATACAATGCAATTCCCATCAAAATACCAGTATCATTTTGCACAGGATTAGAAAAAGCAATCCTAAATGTCAGGCCTCTGAGCCCAAGCTAAGCCATCACATCCCCTGTGACCTGCATGTACACATCCAGATGGCCTGAAGCAACTGAAGAGCCACAGAAGTGAAAATAGCTTAACTGATGACATTCTACCGTTGTGATTTGTTTCTGCCCCACCCTAACAGATGGATGTACTTTGTAATCTTCCCCACCCTTAAGAAGGTTCTTTATAATCTCCCCCACCCTTTAAAAGGTTCTTTATCATCTCCCCCACCCTTAAGAAGGTTCTTTGTAATTCTCCCCACCCTTGAGAATGTACTTTGTGAGACCCACCCCCTGCCCTCAAAACATTGCTCCTAACTCCACCGCCTATCTCAAAACCTACAAGAACCAATGATAATCCCACCACCCTTTGCTGACTCCTTTTTCGGACTCAGCCCGCCTGCACCCAGGTGAAATAAACAGCCTTGTTGCTCACACAAAGCCTGTTTGGTGATCTCTTCACACGGACACGTGAGACACTAAAAATTCATATGGAACCAAAAAAGAGGATGAATACCAAAGCAATCCTAAGAAAAAGATCAAATGTCAATCGAATACACGTATCCTAGGCGGAATTGTGGGGTCTTGTTTTTGTTTTTGTGAGACAGAGACTCGCTCCGTCACCCAGGCTGGAGAAACGAAACCTTATTCAAAAATATAGAATTGTTTGTGAAACCTGGCAATTGTGAATAGTGCTGCAATGAACTTAGGAGTGTGGACATCTCTTCTGTGTGTCAATATCATTTCCTCTGGGTATACACCCAGCAGTGGGCTTGCTGGATTATACGGTGGTTGCATGTTTAGTTTTTTGAGGAGCTTCCATACTGTTTTCTAAAATGGCTGCATTAATTTACACATCCACCAATGGTGTGTAAGGATTTTCTTTTCTCCCCATGCTCACCAACACTGATCTTTCACCATTTTGATAATAGGCAATCTAAGAGCTGTGAAGTGATAGCTCACTGCAAAATTTCACTTTTTACACATACACGTGTATACATATGTATACATATATACATACACATGCATATATATGTACATACATATCTGCACACATGTACATATGTATGTGTGGATGTATATGTATGAATACACATATTTGTATATATACATATATGTACACACTTACATACATATAAACTTCAAGAAGCTATAACCTCACATCTGTTAGGATGATTACTATGAAAAAGAATAGAGTAGCAAGTGTTGCGAGAATGTGGAAAAAATGGAATACTTGCACTCTGCTAGTGGTAATGTAAATGAGTACAATGACCGCAAAAATACCATAGATGTTTTTCAGAAGTTAACAGTCAGAACTGCCCCTGTGCTGTAACAATTTCACTGCCGGGTGCGTATCTAAAGGAAACGACATCAGTACGTTGAAGAGATGCCCGCCCTCCCACATTCATGACAGCTTTAGTCACCATAACCAAGACGTGGAACCCGCCCAAGTGTCCACCAGCAGGCAAGTGGATACAGAAAAGGAAATGCTCAGTGTATGCACAGCGAAAAACTACTCAGCCTTCTAGAAGGAAATCGTTTCATTTGTGACATGGATGAGCCCAGAGGACATCACGCTACGTGGAGTAAAGAAGACACAGGAAGACCCCTGCTGCCTGATCTCACTTATGTGTGGATTGCCCCAGTTCAGCTCATGGAAGTAGAGAGTCGAAGGTGGTTCCTGGGAGCTGAGGGGGCGGGGGTGGAATCAGAGAGCTGCATCGAAGGATATCGCGTTTCAGTTAGACAGGAGGAGTGAGTTTAGCAGATCTGTTGTACAATACGGTGACTACAGTTGCTCACAATGGATTGTATACGTGAACATTGGTAAGAAAATAGATTTTAAATGTTCTCTTAACAGAAAGGTAACTATGTGATGTTACAGATGTTAATTAGCTTGACCTAGCGATTTCACAGGGGATATTAAAATTTCACAGGATATATTAAAATAAAACACCCTAAGTATGTAGAATTTTAAATTGCCAAATAAAGTAAAATAAAAAAATTATTATTTTGAAACAAAAAAAAAAGTAGTATAAAACATGCCTTTTATAGAATGGAAAATTCCATTTTATATGTGATGACTTTTTTTTTTTTTTTTAATTTTTTGAGACAGAGTCTGGCTCTGTTGCCCAGGCTGGAGTGCAGGGGCGTGATCTCAGCTCACTGCAACCTCCACCTCCCGGGATCAAATGATTCTCCTGCCTCTGCTTCCCCAGTAGCTGGGATTGCAGCATGCGCCACCATGTCCAGCTAATTTTTTTTTTTTTAGTAGAGATGTGTTTGCCATGTTGGACAGGCTGGTCTCGAACTCCCGGCCTCAAGTAATCTGCCACTTCTGCCTCCCAATGTGTTGAGATTACAGGTGTGAGCCACCGCACCTGGGCACATTGCCTCTTTTTCTATTCTCAAGAAACATTTGTGATGCTCTGGGTGTGTTTGTGTTTCATTAGTGTGTCAGTATTTGTAAGAAATCACCAATGAAGCTTCGTGAACTGGAGTTTATACCATGGGAACATTTTTATTGCAGTGTTTTTCACACACACACACATATATACACACACACAAACACACACATCTAAAATGGGTCAGATTCTCTGATTACTCTTATGTTCATTACGTAAACTCCAGTTTGCAATACTTCATCTATTTAATCTGCATTTTCTAGTATATTGGCATAGGTTTGCCGCCTGTTCTGTTGTTAGTTTTTGAAAACATATGTGGGATCTCTAGGGCTGTCTGCTCGCTCACTCCTGTGTGGAAATGCGTGCCTGCTCTTTCTTTCTCTTGCTCATTGTAGTTAGGATTCGTGAGTGCAATTAACGTTTTCAAGAACGAGCTTCACTGGCTTTGTTGAATTTTCAAGCTTTGGTTTTTCCTCATGAACAACTCCTCTTATTATTATTATTATTATTCCCTTTCTTACGCCTTCATTTGGAATAATTTGTTATTCTTCTTCTAGATTTCTTTTCTTTTTTCTTTTTTTTTTTCTTTTTTTTTTTGGAGACAGAGTCTCCTTCTGTCGCCAGGCAGGTGTGCAGTGGTGCGATCTCGGCTCACTACAACCTCTGACTCCCTGGTTCAAGCGATTCTCCTGCCTCAGCCTCCCGAATAGCTGGGATTACAGGCACGCCCACCACCACACCCAGCTAATTTTTGTATTTTTAGGACAGACAGGGTTTCACCATGTTGGTCAAGATGGTCTCAGTCTTCTGACCTCGTTATCTGCCCGCCTCGGCCTCCCAAAGTGCTGGAATGACAGGCGTGACTCACCGCGCCAGGCCCTAAATTTCTAATAGGAAAACCATGATCATTCATTTCCTACTTTTTTTTTCTTTTCTAATTCATTCATTCGTGGCTCGTAGTTTTCCAGTTTCATCATTTGATGTGTAATATTTACATTGTGATTCAGTTCAACGCACTTTCTGACTTTTAGTTTTCTCAGTGACGTCAATGATTATTGAAAAGTCTGTTGCTTTATTTCAAAAATGTATAGATGTTAGTTATTTATACTGCAGAACTGAGTGACCCCTAAAAGTTCCCAGCATCTCCTGGTGTCGGTCCAGGCTGGCTGGGGTTCAATGGTGTCCACTGGGGGCAACTCCCATGCGTCCCAGACTCCCTGGAATGTGGGGTCTGGGTCCCCTCTGGGCTAGTGGATGGTCAGGGTGGCGTAGATGCTGGACTCAACTGGAGGTTCCCTTTCCTGGGATGGAGGAGGCTCAGTTGTCTCCCGTCTGAGGGTCAAGCTCTGCAGCTGGGCGTAGGTCACATCCTGGGGGTCTTCAGATGCAGCAGCCTGCAGTGGGGGAGAGTGAGAGGGAAGGAACATGGTGGGGGTGGGGGAGGCCTGGGGGCCTGGAGAGGAAAGGACCAGCCTCAGTGTCCATCTGCCTGTCCTCTTCCACCTGTGTGTCCTTTGTGTCCAGGAATTCCTCGGACAGTGGGGAGGGAGGGGAGGCCATTTCTCTCCTAGGTCTGGAGTGTTTCACCCGGGCATACGTCACTGCCTGGGGGTCTTCATCGTGTGGGCTCTGCTGGAGAAAGACACTGGTGTGGGGTGACTCCTGGAGTCAATTTTCCTCACTGTTCCCAGGGTGATCTGATTACATCTCTTTCCTGATGGAATCTCAGGGACGCCCTAAGGCCGTGGGAGGTCTGGCCGCTCCCTGCCTGTGGTTCTGGCCTCTCCTCCTCACTCTGACCTTGCCCATTTGGCTGCAGCCTTACACGGCCTTCCTGCAAGAGCTTGCTGCTGCCTCAGGACCTTTGCACGGCTGTTTCTTCTGCCTGCAGGGGCTCGTCCATTAGAGGATCCTGTGGCCCCCTCCGTCCAGGCTTCTCAGATGACAGCTGAGCAGACAGCCCTCCCCTTACATTCAGACTGGCCCCACTGCCCCACACTCTGCCCTTTCCCTGGTTTATGTTTCTTACAGCACGTTGCACTCCTGGACACTGCATTTATTTGCATTTTGTCTCCCACCACGAGGTGAGCTCAGGAGGCGGGGGCGGCTCTGCTCCCTGCTGTGTCTGCAGCTCCCACAGGGAGCCCGATCCACAGTGAGCTCCCTGGGAACACTCGCTGGATGAATGAATGAAGGGGAGCCCAGGGGACTGGGGTGGTTCATCTATTCCTCATCCTCCTGAGGCCTGGGGAGCGCTCTAACAACCAGACGGCCAAACAGAGGAGGAGGAGCGGGAAGGGGACCCGGGAGGAGGCCCGCGAGGTCCCAGGACAGCAGGAGAGAGTGAGGTCACAGCAGGCAGGAGGCAGCGTGCTGGACAAGGAGGGGTCCACCGTGATGATGCTGAGAGCCAAGGGAAGAGGACAGAGAAGTCCTGCAGGATTAGATCTGGCACCAGGAGGCCTTTGGTGCCCAGGACGGGGCGGGGGGCGGGAGGGTGTCTCACCCGACTGTCCAGCTCCACCCCGTCCTCAGGCTGTGTGTCCTTCACGGCAGCATCTGCTGGGACACAGCAAGGGGTTTGTCTCCTCGGAAGGTTCCCTGAGACCTCTCAGTCCTGCGGGTCCCTGCCCAGCTCCCAGACGGGGCCACTGCGATGCAGGGAGGGGCTGCGATGTCCCCGAGGTCCCACAGTGTGGGGTGAGATCATCTCACCCTGAGCCCCAGACCCTTTCCAGCCTGTGCCCCTTTCCCCATTGCTATGGAAACTTTGGGGCCCCCATCTCCTCCTGGCTGGTCGCCTCCCCCATCTCCTCCTGGCTGGTCGCCTCCCCCATCTCCTCCTGGCTGGTCGCCTCCCCCATCTCCTCCTGGCTGGTCGCCTCTTCCTGTCACTCACAGAGGTTTTCTTCCTGGGTGTTGGCAGCTGGACTGGACCTGGGGGAGGAACGGGAGCTTTAGGGGCAGTGTACGGGGCCCGGTGGGAGTCTGGGGTCTTCGGGCAGAATTACCTCCTCTGAAGGCCTCTGTCTCTGGGCTCTGGCTCCACAGCCCCTGCAGGATGTTGGAAATCAGCCTTTCTCTGGGCTGGGGGAAGAAGGACAGAGCCTCAGCCCTGGGAACATTGGAGCCCCCTGCCCCCCACACACAGCTCGAAGGTAAGGAAGGAAACCGGAAAACACTCCTGCCTCCGTGTTCCAAATGCCCCATGAGATGGACAGAGCCCGAAGGACACTTTACATTTGTAGATGGGACTGACATTAAGTGCTTTCTCCATTCGCCTGGTGAGAAATGCTGGAACAGTTCCTCAAAGCTGCATTTGCCCAGTGGTTTGGATTCCCTTTGGCTGCACCCTGAGCCCACCCTCGGTCAGCCCACAGGGTCTCCCCTTCCCTACTCACCTGATGTCCAACGTTTGCCCTGACGTCGATGTCGGAGGACAAGGAAGAGGAGGAGGAGGAGGAAGAGCAACAGGACGAAGGCCACCAAGACGCCAGTCACAACCCCCAGGTGCCTTCCCAGACCTTGAGCATGATGACATCAGAAATGGGGGTGATGTCATTGAAATGAGCGCCTACTGTGTGCAGGTGACTGCTGGACCTTCTGTTCACCACCTCCAACCCCCACAACAGAAACATCCCCCCCACCCCCCTTACAGATGGAAAACTGAGGCTCAGAGAGGGGAATCGCCTGTCCCAGGACCCCCAGCCGGGAAGCGGCAGAGCTGGGAAGGGAATCCAGGAGTCTGACCCGCAGCCCTTGTTCCCTGCACCAGAGCTGAGCCCCAGAGATGCAGGGAAAGAGCCTGACCGTCCTGAACCACAGCCCTGCTCCCCTCCCCTGCCCCAGGTCACCGTCACTGCTGCAGGTGGGACAGGACAGGCCCCTGCGGAATCGGGTCTGGGAGGCTTCCCTGGGAGGCCTCCTCTCCCAGGAGGTCACAGCTGGGAGTCAGAGCTGAAAGGAACGTTCCCACCCGCAGGCCTCTCTCCTTTACACCTGGAGAAACTGAGGCCCAGGCAGGGGAGGGGCCTGTCCACGTCACCATCTCCAGAGGAGGCTGAACCTAGGACAGAATCCACCCTGCCTCCCCGGACCCCACCCACCTTCCTCTCAGAGCCCCCCACTCACCACTCTGGGGGTCCGACCCCGTGGGGGTGAGGGGCTGGTCCTCAGGGCCTGCTGGGTCAGGATGGGAAGGTGAGGGCTGGGGCTGCCCTGCTCCCCACGTCAGCCCGGCTGCTCCTTCCCGAGGCTGGGCCCCAACACCTCCCTCTGCCTCGTCCCCGCCCCTCACCGGCCCAGCCTCAGAGCCCCTGGGAGGCTGTGGCCCCTCCTGTGGCTCTGCCCAGCTCCCGGAGTGGAAGCCAATGCCTGAGTCCTTGAGGGGAATGGGATTCTCTGGGAGACTCAGGGCTGCCCTGGGGGAGGCCGTTCTCTCTCTGAGCCCAGAAGCCTCAGTGACTTACCACATGTGGAGGTGGGGCCTGTTGTGGGGGAGCTGGGGCCTCCGGAGGGTCCTGGGTTAAAGAATGAGAGGAGGCTGAGGAGCTGGGGCTTCCCTGAAGTCTCCACCTCAAACCAAATTTCTCTACGTGGGGGCTGTGGTCTCCCCAGGCCCCTCCCTCCATCCACCTCTCCTGTTCATGATGCTGGCGATGCCGCTGAGGGTGGGCATGCCTTCGGGGGAGCCGTCGTCCTCCTCCCCTCTGATGGGTGAGTCTCCCTCTGGCAGAGACCCCCGTCGCACCCCCACTCACTTCATTCCAGCCCAGAGCTCTCCTGGGGGCAGGGCCAGAGCTGAGTCTTTGGGCTCAGAGAGGACAGGGTGAGGGCCCTCACCTGAGACCACGAGCTCCAGGGGGTCACTGGGGATGGACAGCAGGTAGGAGTCAGAGCTGTGTGAGCCGTAGCACCTGTAGGTCCCCGCGTGGGCTGAGGTCACAGGACTCATGGGAAATTCAGCCTGGTACTTGGGATATTTGTACATTGATCTTAGATGGAGGTGGGCATCAGCTGCTCCCGCCTGTGTCAGAAGGAAAACGTGGAACTGCCACGAGGACTGACAGAGCAGGGTCACGTTCTCTCCTGAGACCACCGTGGGGCCCGGCTGCACCAAGAGGGAGGGTCTGCCACGGATCTGTCCTGGAGAGAAGAAGGATGGGTGAGGGGCTGCCCCACCTTGTTCTGAGCTGACGCCTCTCCAGGCTTCTATCTGGGACCCTCAGTCTCTGTCTCTGTTTTCTCTGAGTCTCCCCCTCCCCCCCATCCCCTGTCTCTGTCTGTCTCTCTCTCCCTTGGGACCCCCACCCCTCATCCCGGCCATCACCACCTGGGCTCCCCTGTCAGGGCCTGTGCAGAGCCTGGGTCCCTGCTGAACCGCTGGGCTCTCACCTGCGATCAGGATGTCCAGGGGGTCACTGGGGGCCGACCACTCGGAGGAGAGGTTGTGTGCACCGGAGCATCTGTACTGGCCCCCGTGGGAGCGCCTCACAGGGTCCAGGAGGAAGTTGGCCTGGGAGAGCCCAGCCTGGGGCTGCCGACCAGGGCGCTGGAGGAAGTCACGTTCTCCCTCCTTATACAGAGCGAATCTGTTGTAGCCGGCATCAGAGCCACACTGGAGGGTCAGCTTATCCCCAGGGGCCACGACAGGACCCGGCTGCACTGACAGTGACGGCTTCTTAGAAACACCTGGGAAAAGGTGGTCACGGTTTCCAGGAGCGACCCTCAGGCTTCCCCACAAACCCTCCCTCTCCCCCGGGCCTCACCACTGCTGATCTTCCTGTGTCTCTGGCCCCAGGAGCCCTGAGCCCTCTCGTCCCAACATCATCCCACCTGGCGCTGCCCTGAGACGCGGCTCCTCCCCACCTGCCCAGAGACTCAGGGAACTCCAGGCAATGCTGTGAATTTCTCACCTGGGACCAGGAGCTCCAGGAGATCACTGGGTAAAGACCACACATAGGGAGAGCGTGAGTCATAACCATAGCACCGGTACGACCACCTGCGACTCGGGCTCACGGGGCCCACGGAGAAGACGGCCCGGGATGACCCACGGGTATGGGGCTGGGAGTTCAGGCATTGTGGGTGTTCATCTTCTCCTTCCTTACACAGAACGAAGCCACCAATGCCACCTGTGAGTCACACTGGAGGGTCACGTTCCCTCCTGAGGCCACCACAGGGCTGGGCAGGGCTGAGAGGGTGGGTTTGCTGTAGGCTCCTGGGAGAGAAGGAGGCACCGTGTTAAATGGGACTCACATCTCCCACATCATCCCCAGGGCTGGGCTGTGAGAGGGAGACGCCCCTGAGAGCCGATCCCCTTCCTGAGGACAGAGCCTGGGGCTGGGACACCTGAGTGTCCTCTCACCTGTCACCACCAGCTCCAGGGGGTCGCTGGGCTCTGACCACCAACTGTGGCTGTAATACTGACAGCGATACTGCCCTGCGTGTTCCGAGGTGATGGATGCAATGGGAAAATAGCCCTTCTTGACAAGCTCTTGTTGTATCCGTCTAACCCAGGATGCTGTTTTTTTTTCCCTTTGTAGACGGTAGTCCTGAACCGGAAGGCTCCCCTGACACCTGAGGGTCACAGGACTCCCCTTGCTGATCATAGACCCTGGCTCAGCCCAGAGAGTGGGCTTGGGAAAGGTCCCTGGAAGGAAATCAGAGATCGGATTCTAAGTCATTTCCCACCCAACAGATCTCAGCTCTTGGCTGCAGGACCCTCCACACGCCCCCATCAGTCAGCCCAGATCTGCTATTCCCCGTCCCCAGCTGCACGGAGGAGGCGCCTTGTCCCCAGGGAGGAGGAGGGAACTGGGACAGCTGGGGACAGACTCACCTGCCTGCACGCGGGTCCTGGAGCCCAGACTCAGCCCTGGAAGAGAGTTCCCTGTGAGAGATTTGCCCCTGAAGCCTGAGCAGGTCCTCCCCTCCCTGGGATCTTTGTGAGCCCCTGGGGTCTCCTTATGCACCAGCGTTTGGCTGTGGGGTGAGGCCCCTCCTAGGTTAGAATCTCCCTTCCCTCTTCAAATCTCACCGAGACAGATCAGGACCATGAGGATGGGGGTCATGGCTTCTCCTCCCACTGTCCTGCTCTGCGGATGGATGAGCCCTTGGTGCTGGCAGGACAGAGACACACAGGGTCTCTTGGTGCTGGCAGGACAGAGACACACAGGTGTGGATACTCGGAGGCTGGGTCCTTCTTGTCATGGGGTTTTGTCATCTGCAGCCACACAGGAAGTGGAACTGCCCTCCCCAGGAACCTGGCTGTCATTCCTTTAGGTCTGAGGTTGGGGCAGGCACCGGGCCCTCTGCAGACATTTCAGACTGTAATGGGGTCTTTCCTGACCCCCCAGCCACTGTCTGTCTGGTTTATCCTCGTCTCACTGAGAGCCGGGATGTAGCGGCAAATAGAACTGGTGCTTCCTGTGTCTGCCCTTCCAGATGAGGGTAGCGGAGGCTTCCCCTTCACAGTCTCCCACAAAGTGTCCCTCCCTCCTTCCTTCAGCACAAGGTTGTGGGGTCCTTACCTTGCCAGTTATCTCTCCAGCCCTGGAGATGCTTCAGGGAAGACACAGGTCCATGCTGCAGGCAAACTCAGATCAGCAGAGACGCATCTCACATCTCGCTGTGCCGTCCAGGCTGAGCTGCGTGTGGCAGTGAGCACAGAGGAGAAATGCAGGGAAATAGGGGAAGAAAAGTTGACTTCTTTCTTGGCACTGGATTGTGAATTTTCTTTCAACCAAATAGTCCCTGTCTCAACTTCCCCTTTTTAAAACTTTTTTGCTACAGCGTCCAGCCCCACCCAGCTGGGAACAAACCTCTGAGTCTTTCCTTCCTCTTTAGTGCCCCTGTGCCCTTGGCCGTCCCTCTGCACCTCAATTCCTGCTCAGCATTTCTGGAACAATGACTTATGTTTGAGCTTTGATTTGGGGAGTGGGGGAGGGAGCTGATATTTATTCAATGACCGGTTATCATCCGCTGCCTACGTGACCTCGGGCGGTAATGAACCATCTCTGAGCCTCAGTCTTTTCCTTTGTAGACTGTTTTCACAAATCCCACTCGCCACCGTGGTTGTGGGGTCAGTGGTGCCTGGGACATTGGGAGGGGCTCATTTGTGCTTCATTTCCAGACCAAGGTAAGATCTGAGGTGTCTGGGACATGAGAGGATCTTGGTGTTGGACGGTTGATGCGTCCACTCATGATGTCGCCCTTGACCCTAATGGAGAAGTGTACATCAGGCATTTCTGAAATACCCAGAGAATCAAGGTCATGAGCAGAAAAAGAGGTGTGGAAGTTCCCAAGGGTAGACAGATCCACAAGAAAGAACAGAGGCCAGAGATGAGATGCCACAGGGTGGCAGGACCATCGAGGGGTCATTGGAGTGGAGGTTTCCACCACTGAGTGGAGCCGGGAGAGGAACCTCACGATCTGCAATGACAGAGCGGGGCTCAGGGCTCCAGATGAAGGTGGGAGGCTGCGTCCTCCAGCCACACCTGAGGCTGGAGTGGACCCCAAGCAACCCAGGGGAGTCACCTCAAGGGAGTGCACCCAACCGCCAGTGATAGAGCTGCTGGGATTCCAAAGAAAGAAGCACTGAACACCAGGGTGTCCATAGAGCATTTATTAGGGGGACTTCCATAGAGTGGGGCATCCTTGTCTCCTTGCCCAATGTCTGCTTGTGCATCTCAAGGATGTGCTTCCACATAGAAGTATGTTCCTGAGATGGACAAGGAGGCACTGGGTGTTCTACACAAAGCTTTAACCAACCAACCAACCAAACAAACAAACAAACAAAAAACCCTAGAGAATATGATCTCTCAGTACAGTTGTTTTTTGGGATACACAGGCAATTCGTTTCAGTACCCTCTACATGTACCCAAATCTGCCCGTACTCCAGCCTCGATGTTGTCTCTGCTTGACCTGCATATAGGAAAAGTTTGCTGTTCATACACGCAGGTCTTGCTTCTCACAAATGCCATAGTTCTGATCCCTGTTTGGTTGAAAAAGTGTGTATATAAGAGACCCCAGGAATTCAAGGTTGCCTTGCTCCAGGGTCGCCTGGATTTTGAGTGTATTTGGGAATGAGAAGCAAGGATTACAATCTGGAGTGCATGGCATGGCAAGCCACAGTGCGTCCAGAGAGGGAAGTGTGATATTGGGATATATACCGGTTTTCACCCGCGGTTCCTTGCTTGTAACTCCCATAGCCCTTGTTACACTCTTTTGTTATAACATTGGCTGTGTTGGGCCTCAGGGGAGGCCTCTGACCTCCTCCTGCCCTTCCTTTACCTGCTCAAGGCAAGAATCTAATGTTCCCTGCCTTTCTGATGGTGGATCTTAAGACCCTCCCAGAAGACGGTCTCACCCTGTTTCTTGTGGGAGGAGATGCTGACATCATGAAGCTTCCATAAAAGCCCAAGAGGACTGGGTTTCATGAGTTTCTGGATGGCTGAGCATGCAGTGGTTCCTGGAGGGTGGCACCCAGGGAGGGCATGGAAGTCTCGTGCCCCTTCCCCCATGCCTCCTCCTATGTGTCTCTTTATCTGTGTCCTCTGCAGTGTGCTTTGTATTCAACCAGGAAATGTCCATGTCTCCCTGAGTTCTGTGAGCTGCTACAGCAAATTAAACCCAAAGAGGGGGTCATGGGATCCCCAACTTGAAGTTGGTTGGAGGTCTGGACTTGGCAGTGGTGTGGAGGGCAGTCTTGGGGACTGAGCCTTCAATCTGTGGGATCTCGGACTGTCTCTGGGTAGACAGCGTCAGAACTGACTTAGACGTCCCAGCTGATGTCTAAGCTACTGGGTTTGGGGAAAAAAACCCACACATGGCTGGGCGCGGTGGCTCACGCCTGTAATCCCAGCACTTTGGGAAGCCGAGACGGGCGGATCACGAGGTCAGGAGATCGAGACCATCTTGGCTAACACGGTAAAACCCCGTCTCTACTAAAAATACAAAAAACTAGCCGGGCGAGGTGGCAGGCACCTGTAGTCCCAGCTACTCGGGAGGCTGAGGCAGGAGAATGGCGTAAACCCGGGAGGCGGAGCTTGCAGTGAGCTGAGATCTGGCCACTGCACTCCAGCCTGGGTGACAGAGCGAGACTCCGTCTCAAAAAAAAAAAAAAAAAAAACCCCACACATCTGATCCTACAAGTCTTCTGTGTTGATGATCGTTGATGATTGGTGTAAGAGTAGAGGAAAAACACCTTAGAGAGAGCTCTCTGTACGTAGAGAGGTAAAGGAGGTTCTTATCAGCAACAAAGGAGAGGCTGACAGAGCTGCTTAGAAACAGAGTTCTCTGGTTCCAGAGGTTCAGAGCCAGAGCTGCTGTCGGTCCACTGCAGGAGATGTTGTTGCTGGGAAAATGTTCTCTCGAGAGCATCTTACCTGAATTCCTGACATCCTAAAGAATAGCTAGTGATAAACCTTGTCAAAGCAGGAGATGGGTGAAGGGCATGAAAGAGTTTCTTGTGGGGTTTTTTTAAAAGTCCTTAGAAACAGTTCTCATCTGAGACCTGGAAGCATGAGCCTTCCCTCCTTCAGGCCTTTCTGGCCCTGTGGGGTATGAGTTTGACCAAAGTCATCTCATCCTTGCACCTGTGACTTTCCTATTGGGTGTCTGCAGTGAAGGGAGTGGGTTACAAAGTTTAACTTGAGAGTTTCAGGAATTTGGTTGAGGAGAGGGCTTGTTTCTACAATAATTAGCAAAAGGGTTAATTTTTTCAGTGTTTTCTAGAAACAACCTAAAGTGCTTTATCAGTACCTGGGAATATTCAAGACCTCCGCTTGGGTTCCAGCCTGCAGGTGGAAACAGGCATCTGTCCAACCCACAGAGCAGTCATGGCACTTTGTCTCTCTCTCAGAACAAAGCAAAAAGTGTAGGAAACCGTGGGACCCTAGAGAGACTGTGGTTCCCCCTCTTCTGTATTTGTGGACAGACCCTGGGATAGCTCCGCTCAGTGACCCCAGCCACACTCAGCACTAAGCCACTTTCCCGGATGGGCATGACACAGACTCACTTTATCATTGCTGGACCGGGCATCTCTCGCACATGAGTGTGAGACTCACATGGGCCCCACCATGCGGGGCACAACACAGAGCTGATACTAAGCTTGGAAGCATGGACACTGCAGGGTAGAAGCGGCTACAGCAATGCTCCTCATCAGCTTTCATTCCTGAGTGAGCCCTGGGAGAAACTGTATAGAAGATCACGTGTATAGGAGAAAACCCCACCCAAGAGAAATAAAAATCAAAGTGCCCATTACAGAAAAAACAGGCAACTATAGAAACGAATTAGGAAGCTATTGTGATGTGAAAAATAGTAAATCATATCAGCACATTTAGAAATAATTGCATCAAGGACAAGACAGAGCTGAAATGATGAACATTGTATTGGTGTGGAATATCAGTTAAATTTTTCATTAGTCATCAGAGAAAAACTAGAAATGAATAAAATAGAAAACATAATTAATGCGCACAAGAAACAGAATGGAGAGGAAACAGATATCTCTCTATGTGTCACACTTTCAGAATGAAGGAAATGAGTATGTTAGTCAGTAAATACTTGCAAAGAAAATGGTTGACATTTTTATAGAAATGAAGAAAGAACATGAGTTTACCGCAAACAAATTAATAAATAAAATTAATGTCTTAACTATGATAGAGTAAAAGCTACCTAGAATAGATTAAAAGTAATTTTAAAATTACTGGAGAAAATAAAAACTATTCTCAAAGGAAAGACGAGCACATTGGGACTGGATTTCCCAAGAGTAAATAAAATGTGACAAGAAAATGACTGGGGGTTGAGGTTCCAGTTGGCTGAATGGAAAGGGCTGGAGTCTGCCTGCTCACCAAGAGGACCCAAAATGGCGAGTAAATACCAACAGGTCAAGTGGATCTTCCAAGAGGACGCTGGGGTTCACCTGAGAACCATGAGGACACGGAGAGAAGAGAAGAGAAAAAGTGGGAGCCAGGAGAGGCTGCTAACACGGGGAAGGGGTGAGTGATGAGAGGCCCCCTAACACGGGGAAGGGGTGAGTGAGTGAGAGGCCCCCTAACACGGGGAAGGGGTGAGTTAATGAGAGATTCCGTAACACGGGGAAGGGGTGAGAGAGTGAGAGATTCCCTAACAGGGGGAAGGGGTGAGTGAGTGAGAGGCTCCTTAACAGAGGGAAAGGGTGAGTGGGTATGAGGCCCCTGGGATCCACACCACTACCTTGGCCCTTTACAATTCTGGTCACAGGAGAGCCCCTGACCCCCCTTGGCCTGCAGAGGCACACAGGGAGTTCCTGGAGATGGTGCAGAGGCGCCTCTGGAGCCCACGTGGAGTCCCACAGGCTTCTGATCCCTGAGCAGCCTGGGTCCAGCTGCCACTGCCTTAGCAGGGAGGGAGGAGGCCAGGCACCTCCGTGGGCCCCAGAATCAATATGACAGCTGGGGCACAGGAACAGCGAAGCTGAGCACCACACAGCTCCCCGCCTCTGTTGTGTCCTGCTAAATGGGGCTTCCTTCCTGCTAATGGGGCTTGCCAGCTGCAGGGCCCCAGTGCACCCTTCCTACCCCCACCTGAACACCGTGGCTCTGGCTTGGTGCCCTCTGAAAGCCCAATGCTCAGAGGCCCCTGACAAGCCCTTTGCAGTCACTGCCAC